TCATGACTTCCAACCAGGAGATGAGCCTCTTTCCTTTGCCCCCATCCCTCCCCTGCATAATGTTCTGTGGTACACACACCCAGGGGACTGCCCATCCCACACAGGGATTTGGGGCAGGGGCAGAGGAGGGGGAGGGGCTTAGCAGAGGGCCAAATGCAGAGAGGCCTGATGACTTCCAGATGAGTCACTGTGGGAGCTGTGGGAAGGTTCCAGAAGAGCCCCAGCCTCCCTCTTTGGGTGAGAATGGTCAGATAGACTGGGCCCAGGGAGGGCAGGTCTCTGTCCAAGGTCACACAGTAGGAAGTTAGGACACAGCTAAGTTAATGGCACAGACCCCTGTCCAGTAGCAGCTGTGCCCCTCCATGGGGGGCAGAGCATCCAGGAAGGAGGGCCAGAAGGAAGGAGGGAGGAAGGAAGGAGGGAGAAAGAAAGGAGGAAGGAGAGAAGGAAGGAGGGAGGAAGGAAGGGTCCCTGTGGCTCCCGAGCACAGGAGGAGCAGCAGGGGAAGCGGCCAGAACCTACCTGTGATCTGCTGGGTGTATGTCCCACAGTCTTCAGCCTCTGACTTGTTGCAGTCCTTGGGGATGAGGAATATCCCCGAGGTCTGGCAGCACCTCTGTGTGGGGCGGTGGAAGGGGTACAAGTCTCTGCAGCAGCTCCACGTGGAGTCCTTGGGGTCCAGGGCCACGCTGCCACAGAGTCGCCACTTCTCCTTTTCACCACCTCCACCTCGCCTGGGGCCAGACAGCTCAGCATAAGGCCTGGCCGGTCCTGGGTGGAGGCCTGCCCTCCTCCTGGGCCTTATCTCTCCCACATCCATTCATCTTTCCCCAGCACCCAGGTCCCAGGTCCAGTGGCCTCTGTCCAGCCCACGGGTGGGGTCTGCACTGAGTGCTCACACCCCCATGGGCTCCTGACCTGACCTTGTGAGCGGGGCTACCAACCGCCCACCTTGGGTGCCACCCGGGTCACAGCCAGTGGCCCTTGGAAGTGATGCTCAGCCTCACTCAGGCCAGTGACATGGCCCTGTCTACCCATGAGACTGGCCATGTGACTAAGTGGATGCTGGGCCTGGGCACTGGAGGGAGAGCAGATTGGGCAGGGCAGGCAGGAGGTCAGCATCTTAAAAAAAAAATCTGTCTTTTCCCCCCCATTTATTTATTTATTTTACTTTATTTTAGAGAGAGGAGGCTGAGAGAGAGAAACATCAATGTGAGAGAGAAACAGGGAAACATTGATGGGCTGCCTTGTGCAGGTGCCCCAACCAGTGGCCAGGGCGAGGTCAGCATCTTCAGGCAGCAAAGCCAGGGAAGGTGGGGGAGATGGTAGTGGGGGCACGGGGAGCTTCAAAGGCTCAGAGACCCTGGTCTCTGCCCCTCCATTCTTGCCAAACACTGTCAGGAGCTGGGTCACCTCCTCCTCACTCCCTCCCACATTCCTTCCATCCCTCACCCCCTCACTGCACTTCCCTGGTCCTTGGGCTGCTGCCGGGCCTGAAACTCATGGCACCTCATGTTCGGAGTTTGCTTAGAAAAGTAGAAGACAGAGGACTCCTCAGCCAAGTCAGGGTTCAAGGCCCATCCTTCCCTTCACCTGCTGTGTGGCCTCGGACATGAGCTTCCCCTCTCTGAGCCTCACTTTCTCCATTTCTAAAAGGGTCTGTTTTGCTTCGTGGGGTGTCACACAGACTGAGGGTGACAAGTGGGGCTGAATGAATGGAGTTTTAATAGAAGAGTCACCGCTGGGCCTGTGGTGGGAGGAGGCCCTTGACTTTGGTTCTTGACTCAGCAGATCACTCCCTTCTCTCGAGTCCCCATTTCTGCTCCCTCCCCAGGGGCTCTCCCTCCGCCCTGTCCTGCACCACATTCAGCACTAGGAGAGGCCATGGGGATGGGGGGATGCTCACAGGGGCTCGCCCCCCCGAGCCCCGGTGGGAGGTGGGTCTGAACTCCTCCCTGAGGCTGGCATTTCCGCTGAGCAGGATCACAGGTAGAAGTTGCACCCTCACAGCTGCCAGGCACCCAGAGGGGACAGGCTTCCCTCCCCCACACCCATGCTCACCTTAGGAGGTTTGGTGTCCTCCATGCACCAATGGTAACAGCAGGAAGAAGAGGGCTGCAGGGGAGAGAGGTGTGAGGGTTGGGGTCCCAGCTGGCAGAGGAGGGTGGTGGGAGACTCTTACCCTGGTACCTTGGGTGATGGGAGACCCTTACCCTGGTACCTTGGGTGATAGGAGGCCTGCACCTTAGAAGATAAGGAGTCCTGATTTCTCCTGTTGGGTCCTGGCCAGAATCTGGCTTCTCCTGTTCGATGCATGTTGTGGAGGCCACAGCATTTGGGGGAAAGACAGTTTTTATATCCTATTTTATGCTAATGAGGTGATTTTGATTGGTGCTTAATCCCAGAAAGAGGTGGGTAGATGTTGAAATTCCTGACCTTTGGGGAGGTGGGGCTCTGTAGACATAGGTAAATGACCTGGGGGACTGAGAGGGTACCTGAGGAACTGAGTCACTTCCTGGTTGTCTGGTGCCTCTGTGGGGAGGCGGACTAGGGCGCCTGAGTAGGCGGGCTTGATGCACCCCCCAGAAAAGTTTGTTGTGGACCCTGGAGTTGTGCTTCTCCGAAAGATTGCTCCTGTTACATTTTCTGCTCTGTAAAGCCTGCTCATTTGAAACTGAATCAGCCAGCAGTGGTACCGGTGTTGTGGAGTACTAGCGACAGAATGACCAGAACTCCAGACTGATTGAAATTTAGAGAACCTTTATTGACTGGCCAGTGTCCGCTCCTCCACTGGGGAAGCCCAAGAGAGAAGTGGCCATGACCATCTGCAGAGTCCAATATTTAAAGGGGACAACTACATCCATGTTCGGGTTCCCATAGCAAGCAAAGTCAAGTTACAAAAGCTAATTGCGTAGTTTTAGCCAAGCTATTCATCATACTCCTGTTATTCATTTCTGGGTAACTTAAAGGTCAGGACTATTCTTAATTTTTAACTTAAAGGTCAGGACTATTCTTAATGTTGATCTATTTGTTCTTTGTAGGCCGTTGCTCAGGTGTGTGAGCTCAGTTCCTAGAAACTTTGCACAGGCTGTCAAACTGCTGAGGTGGCTAGGTAATTAAGCAGGCCTAAAAATGTTCCTACTCTGTAACATTCCCCACTGGCCAGTGTCCACCCCTCCACTCGGGAAGAATCAAATCATTGTTTCTTCATTTCTAATTCTTTGATAATGAGTTCTTAGGACCATTAATTTGACTGCTTGTATTCTGTGTTGAATATAATTCATTAAGCAGTTCAGTATGCATGGGCCGAAAGTTAGTGTTAGTAGTAGGAGTACTAATGGCCCAGCTAAGGTGGTTAGGAGAGTGGTGAGCCAGGGGGACCAGGAGAAGAGGTTTTCATACCAGTTTCCTTCAGACTTTCTCCTTTCCTCTCTATCTTGTAGCCTCTTCCTTAGGCTGACTGAGGCTCTCCCTGATAACTCCTGAGTGGTTAGTATAAAAACATCAGGTCTCCCCTAGGGCCATGCATAGTCCTCCCTGTTTTAGAAATAACAGGTCGAGCCCTGTCCTATTTTGTAATACTACCTCGGCTAAGGAACTGAGGGAATCTTCAAGTCTTTCTACATTTTGCTCTAATGTGCTCAGATCTTGATCTACTTGGCTGCTGAGGGCCTTATACTAGAGCTGCTGTTCCCACCGTAGTGGAGCCGGCAACCCCTAACCCTACTAAAAGGGGAATCAATACCGGGCCATTTCTCTCTGCCTCCCTCCCCAGAGTAATAGTATACCTGAGGCAAGATGTGAGGATCCATAGAGAAGGCTCCCCCGGGGGGACGGGAGGGATGAGAGTCAAGGGGAAATTCAAGCGGTGATACGGAGGTACAGACAAACCAGGTTCCCTGTACATTGGATGGCCCATCGTTCAGTGGGGTCCTCGGATTCCGCCTTTTTTACTTGAGTTCGGTGAATCCAGTGTCTCTTTCTGGCAACCTTTACGGCCGATGGGGTGCTGAGGATGACAGTGAAGGGCCCAGTCCACCTGGCTTCCAGCGATGATGGCTCGTGCTTCTGAACCCACACCAGGTTTCCCGGTTGAAAGAGAAGTGGTCCAGGCCTTGTCCCGAGGGTGGGTCTCGGTGAGCCTCTTGGACCAGCTGGTGGTTAAGCCTGGAGCTCAACTGTAAAGCCTGTAAGGACTTCAGGAGGTTATGATTAGAAAGGGATGCTAATATTTCTTCCCCTAGCTTGGGAAGTAGCAGTGGGGGTTGGCCAAACAGAATCTCAAAAGGGGTGAGGCCCTTTACATACGTGGTGCAACAGGCCAGAGTAGGGCAAAAGGGAGGAGGCTTACCCAGTTTTCGCCAGTCTCCAGTTTTAGTTTTGTCAGGGTTTCCTTCAAGGTCTGATTTATCCTTTCTACCTGTCCAGAGCTCTGAGGTCTATAGATACAGTGTAATTTCCAATTTATACCTAGTATCTTTGCCAATAACTGAGTGATGTGGGCAATGAATGCCCACTGCTAAAGTCTACTTCCCAATGCTCTCCAGGACTTTTCCCTCTGAGTCTGGTTCCCTCAACTAAAGGGGACCGCTTCCTGGGGTTTATCTGTGCACAGATGTGACATCTCCTTGCGATGTCCTTTGAGACCTGAAAGAGCTTAGGAATATAATAATCTCGTTTAAGCAGTTCTACCAGCTTGGTTCCCCCCAGATGAGTACTCTGATGGATCTGGGAAATGAGTTCCTTTCCCAGGGCCTCCGGAGTGAGCAGCCTCTGGTCCGGCAATTCTTTCCATCTTCCAGATGTTTCTTTTGCCTAGAGTCTTTTCCCCAGCGCAGTAACCTCCTCCGAGTAGACTGGAGTCTCCTCAAAGACCCTTGCAGGGAGGGCTGGTAAAATAAGGAGGGGCCCCACTGGTTTTTGGGCAACTTCCCTGGCCGTTTTATCTGCGAAAGTGTTTCCCCGTGCCTCCGGGGTGTCAGTTGACTGATGTCCTTTGCAGTGTATGACTGCCACCGCCTTTGGCATCCAAAGGGCCACAAGGAGGGTAAGCATTTCTGGGACATTTTTGATTTCCTTCCCTCCTGACGTTAGGAGTCCCCTTTCTTGGTATAAGGCCCCGTGAACGTGAACAGTGGCAAAAGCATATCAGCTGTCCGTGTATATATTCACTGCCTTTTCCTTCCCCCACCGTAGTGCTTGGGTGAGGGCTATTAGCTCTACCTTCTGAGCTGATGTCCCGAGCCCTAGTGCCTGTGCCAGATTACCTTGTCAACTGTCACGACCGCTGCTCCTGCGTACCTGGTCCCTTCGACCACAAAGCTGCTTCCATCAGTGTATATAGGGTCTCGTCAGGGTCTGGCAGGGGCTGGTCCATCAGGTCCTCTCAAAGGTTCTTGAGCGAGGACAGGGTTTCAGTGCAGTCATGGAGGGGCTTCTCAGGGTCGTCATCAGGCAACAAGGTAGCAGGGTTTAGTGCCGCCGTTTTGAGAAAGCTGACTCGCGGGGGGTCAAACAAGAGTACCTGATACTGGGTGATCCGAGTATTCGAGAGCCAGCGCTCTGGTGGGCTTTGCAACAGCGCCTCCACGGAATACTACTTGCAAGTCCTGCCTGAGGGTGAGTTTTGAGGCTTCCTTTACCAATATAGGTGTAGCTGCTACTACTCTCAAACACCCTGGCCACCCTGCAGCCACGGGGTCCAGCCGCTTGGATAAGTATGCCACAGGCCTTTTCCATGGTCCCAGAGATTGGGTTAACACCCCCTTTGCGATTGCCCGAGCCTCTGCCACGTGTAGCTGAAATGGCTTTGTGAGGCCTGGCAGCGCTAACGTTGGTGCGCTGACTAAGGTTTGTTTAAGATCTTGAAAAGCCTTAGTTTCAATTTCAGTCTAGTTTAGTTTCTCAGTCTTTCCCCAGTGCAGGTAACAGGCTCAGGAGGGTATATGGATTAGGCACCGTGGGATGTATAGTTTCTACCCTCTTATTGACCTCTCTTAAGTCCTGAACGGGTCTGAAGTCCTCTGTTCCTGGTTTCTGTACAGGAAGCAATGGGGTATTCCACGGGGAGTGGCAAGGGACTAAGATTCCTGCTTTTTTCAGTCTTTTTCTGTGGACTGCAA